GCAATCCTGTGACAGTCACAGGCGGTAAATAGTGCAGCGCGTGAAGGAGAGATGCGAGAGCACGAACACCGTTCAAGGTCTCCATTAATTCGTGCTTGTAGTAATTTAATGTGCATATATTTTGAAAGCATTGAATTGCTATAGAAATCACAATTCATTCGATTCTTAGCGTTTTAAATTGATTACGGTCCGAAATCGGCGATTCACGATTCAAAAATCCATGTTTCAAGATCGATGCATTGCATCGTCAGGGTTTGTAATCGATGCATCGAGAAAACGAGTGAATCGTTACACGCACGCCTCTTTCACGCAGCATACAGCGGTGTTGTGCATTTTAACCAGTTTATGGGAAAAGTATTCTTAAAATGCATTCAAAATTCGGAATAATTTGTAATATATAATTATTCACGGTATTTAAAGAAGTGCCCACGATAACAATATCGTGCATATTCATTACCGTGATATATCGCATTACCGAATACCGGCACAAGTCTACCCTAGAGTCTAATAAAAATGCTAATTCGAAGACAATTTCAAATGGCACTTCAACCTGTTGATAGAAAAACATTATGCCAGCTGTTAAAACTACAGTTTGTCTTTGGGGAAGTATGTGATGTTAATACATTTGAATCTTGAGCATATTGAGCTAATTTAGTTTTTGTTTCTATATGGCAGGCTTCGACTGCCGGTGCGGACACTTGTTTTGCAGCATCCACCGATACTCAGATGTTCACAACTGTAGCTTCGATTACAAGGCTGATGCAGCCGAGAAAATAAGGAAAGAAAACCCGCTTGTCGTTGGGGAGAAAATCAAGAAGATTTGAGTTGAAGATTGCAAAGATGTTTTTTTACCCTCTTTTCCTTGAAACCTTGAATTGTGCATGCTACAATGAAACATATACGCAAATTTATTTTGTCCCTTTGTTTCATTTTACCTCTCAAGTTTATTTACTTACAAAATACTGTGGTATGTATACCATGAAATATTTATATAATTAGTAATTTAATTTACATTTATAAATGGGTTTTAGTTCTCACATGCTGAGACGACTCTGGTGATGAACAAAGCTTGCATGTTAAAGCCATTGCCAGAATTTTTATTTTAGTTTTTTTCAATAACGATTGTAAGCAAGAAAATGACATTATTTACGTAATATAAAAAAGATAAGGTTTTATCAATTACTGTATTTGCTTCATCCTTGGTTTAAAAAAATTCAGAGGTTTATAAGTCATTTAAAATGCGACTGCGGTCTCTGGTTTAACAGGTTTTTTTTGGACTTCATTACAGACTGTGATTTACATTTTCCTCATAGTTCATTTATTAGAGTGAGTGGAAGTTGCGAGTGGTTTTATTTGTCTGTGTATTCACTGCATTAATGTTCAATAAAGTTTTACACATCACACTGTAGTAAGCGCTCTAGCGACTCAATTTAGCCAAGTATACAGTCTCCCTAGTTTGTTTAATGACATTATATACGTGCTTATGCTATTAATATTAAAATGCATAAGACTGGCAACACTGCTGCAAAATCTTGCCATTAATTTTATGGTGCACTGTTGTTTAAAGGTACAAATCATTTAAGTGGTTAGAAAATCGATTATACCTTAATTCATTATTATTATGATACAATACTTGCCTTTCAAGTGCTATAAATGATCTTTGACATAATCCTGACTTATATTTATGAACCATGAAAATAATGTCAGAGGACGTTAGAAATGAAAGAAGAAGAAAAAAGTAATGATAACATTTTATACAATGTTGTCTATCAAAATAGTCTCTGTGTTCTGGAAACGTTAGCTAATTTATAGTTACAAAAAATAAAACGCTAAGACAACGTTGTTATTAGGTTATAAGAACAACAAAAAATACTACGGATAGTTCCGGTCCTTGATTCTGATTGGTTGAGCTGCGTTCGAAGCAGCTGTAAATTACACTACAAACATACACATTTGTTTACTTCTGTGTGTTGCTCGGCAACCACCTTGTTTGGAACGACAACTATTTCTAAAGGGACTACATTGTTTGGTGGACGAATACTGTTTTTATTCATGTCATTACACTTTATTTGCTCGGTTTTATTTTGTGAAACCTTACCCCGTGAAGCCGTGGTTTACAGTGGATTTATTTAGTGGGGACAAATATTGTGATTTGTCAAAACATTACAATGAAACAGGTTTACTGACAACATATGTATAATTACTGCAATACTGCAAAACAAATAACTTTGATAATGCTAACTTATTTCTACATAGGGCATACAGCATATTAGTTACTAACCTAAACGACGGACACGCATAGCGTGTGACAAGGCTTAACATCTTTAAAAAAGATGAGAAAAATATAATATTTTATTTTAAAATACACATAACGTTACAATTAGGAGTTCATTTGTGCAAATGTTGTAAAAGCAAAACAACAAAATGTTCCTTGCCACATTCGGTTACGAATTACGTGAATCACGTAAATTATCAAAACGGTCGTCGAGTAGTTTGCATCACAGAATATTACTGTTGGTTATTTAACATTTCTGTTGTAAAACAGCTGTCAAATAATTAACGTTTTCCTACTTACCTCACACTCTCACTGTTAAAAAATGCCGTGGTGTCGCGCTGCAACAGTAAAGCCCCGCCCTTCTTTGATTTGATTGGCCATCTAAATCATTCTGACATTGACGAGCGCTGTCTGGAGTTTTTTTTAATTTTTTTATCATAAATAGAATAATTTAGAGTAGACGTCACAGTTACGTCACTTGCAGCTGCGCGCGCATAGTGGTTGCAGAAAAACACTGGGAACAAGTGGAGATAAATGGGTAAAATCCATGGAATAAAAGAAAAAAATATGTTTGTGCCTTTTGATGTCAAGATCGGAATGCAAATAATTTTTATAGAATACTGTCGTCAAAGACGCCATTTGAAGCTAAACGCAGACGTTTAAATGGACATACTATGGATGAAAACTGTTATGATTACTTTTAAAGCATAAATTCGATTTAAACAATAGGTCTACATAATATTCACATATGCTGTTCATAGGGGACGTATTGTATTAGCCCTACAGTTACAGCATGAAATATTATTTAAACCTTACTATTAGAAATATTATTTAAACCTTACTATTAACATTTTTACATAACATTTATTTACTTTATCTCACAATTCTGACTTTTTTTCTCGCAAATGCAAGTTTATATCTCCTAATTCGGACTTTATAACTCGACTTAACTCAAAAATAGTGAGTTTGACAAATCTGAGGGGAAAAAAAGCCAGAAGAGCCGAGGGGAAAAGAGAGAATGACAAGTTGTTTTTCCTTATTAGAATTGTGAGATATAATCTCGGAATTGCGAGAATAAAGTCAGAATTTTGAAATATAAAATCAAATTTACCTCTTTTTATTCTTTTATTCCGTGGCTCCATAGACTGAAGCTTGAAAACTGTCATTTTCTGCCTCCATATAGGCTCCGCCCACAAAAAAAACGTCATCCCTGTTTCGGATCTGGAAGACTATCCCACTCTCTAACGTCAATTTCGTTGAATAACAGTGCTTATCGCTGGGTGACAAGCTCTTGTAATATGCGGAGAACATTTTGAAAATGACATCTCTTGTGGTCAGTCTGCACAAGATCAACAAGCGCGTTTGCTTTGCGTCCCCTTTAAATACAAGATAAGCATTCGATCTACGTCAGAGCGTCAGAGCGTCCACGAATCTTTCTGCAGCGTTGTTGGCAGGGCGGCCAGAGCGATTTTTGACGCTCTCGACGGCGGCGGTGTGAACGCACAGTGAGTCTCACGCTGAATGCGTGAGAGTTGGCAGCCCTGTACCATTCTGTGTGGAAAATATGATTATTCTGTTTTGCCCATCAAAAAACTCGTTAGACAATGTTTTTATTAGGTTGTCACAAAAAAAAAAAGAAGAAAGAAACGTTTATGGTTGCACAAAACGTTCCTAGAACATTAGGAATTAGTTCAAGTAATGGGACCCACATCCTAACGTTAGGGTATCGTTCTGTGGTTGGTACTTTTCTGCTGAGTCACGTCGTATAGACGAAGTATACTTGACGTAGGGAGGATAGAAGGGCGCGTCTCTGATTGGCTCGCCGCTTCGACACGTGAGGCGGTAACTTTCATATGTCTCAAGTGAACATCTGGAAGAGGTTACTCGCGCTGCTGTTTACTCTAGGAGTATCTCAGAGTACGACTGCAACTTCAACATGTCTTTCGTAAAAGTGGAGGAGAAAAGTGACTTTTCTTATCACAACTTGCCTTACGGAGTTTTCTCCACGCCGGATAATGTGAGTAACTTTATTCACTCCTGGGAATGAAAGTATGTTTGTCTGAACTGAATTACTCAAGTCTTGTTATGTAATAAGATCGTGTTTAGCTTTATAAAATGACTAAATGATGTTACTCAGAATATTATTACTTCCGCTGCAATTCTGTGTGGATACAAGGTTTCAAAGGTCAGAATGGACATTGAAAATCTGCCTTCATGAATTTAAAGTAAACTCTTTTATTGACAACCAAGCTTTATTGGCACCGTTTATAATACTGACAAAGCATATAGTGTTTAAAGCATTAAAGTAGTCAATATAAAGACATAAAAAGAAAAGTTTTTGGAACATGCTGGAGAACATGATCTGTCATAAAAGCAAAGGAAATCCAAAGACATTCTGAAATCCATGCAAAATGTTAAATTCAGCAAGATACTTTTTAACTTGTATACAATGTTTGGATATAACAGCCCAGGCACAGAATTGGCGTTGCCATTGGAGACCAGATTTTGGACCTCAGTGTTATCAAGCATCTTTTCAATGGACCGGCTCTTGTGCATCATCAGGATGTTTTTGAACAGGTGAGCTCCATATAGTTTTGTATTAAACATTATGGATTCTTTTGCATCCTTATGCTTTTTTTTTTCTTCTTCATTAAAGTCCACACTCAATGCTTTTTTGGCTCTGGGTTATGATGCTTGGAGGGAAGCGAGAAAGTGCCTCCAGATGCTTCTGGCTGCAGAGGAGTCCATGCTGCGTGATGATGTCAGTTTAAGAAGCCGGTAAATGTCCCTCATACAATATGGATATTTCATTTCGTTAGTGTACTTATTACTGCATAAGTATGTGCTGTATACTGCCTATATGTAGAACAGTACATATGCAACATTTTAAATAGTAGTATGCAACTATGCATTTATCATTTTTTATTCATCATTATTTATTGTTATTATTATTTATTTATTAATAATAAAATAATTAATGCAGTAATAATATTATTATTATTAGTTATTATTTTATATAATTAGTTCATTAATTTATCAATTTAAAAGAGAAAGCTGAAGGAATGTTTTAATTATTATTATTTATTAATTAATATTAATTTATTTGAAACCAGAAAGCTGCAAAAAGTTGTATTTATTTATTTATTAAAATCAGGAAGCTGAAGAAAAGTTCATTATGGCATCTTGTGTGTGTGTGTGTGTGTGTGTGTGATTTGTGATCTCCAGGGCATTTGTTCAGCAGAGTTCTGCAATGATGCATCTCCCAGCTGAGATCGGTGAGTGTGAAAGTCAAACAGATAGCCTCAAACTCCATATTTCCATATCACAGGACCATATTTCATATACAACTCATGTTTCAACTCTTTTCCTCAATATAGATTTAAAGTTAACATTGCGTTTTGCAACAGTTTAACTTCCATCATCTAATATATTTCAGAATTAAACAGTAAATGCATCTAGAATAAATGTACAGCGGGACCTTATTATTATTTCATCCATAAGGAATTGATTGGATCATGAAAAGTGGTGTTATACAGCAGAATTAAGACTGGCGGTGAAGAGGGGTCTCTGATGTCTGCCAAATGCAAAGCTGTGGCCGAGCAGGTTATTACATTTTGATGAAAGATTATAAAGACAAACATTTTTCATTGGAAGAACATGCACTGGTCAATAATACATACATCAACACTTTGAAGATGTCTTTAAAGCAGTCAGTGCTTTCTGAAATTGACTAGTATCTTTAAAAGTCGTCCTGTAGAGTACAGAACTCATGATTCTGTTTCATAAAGACCACTAGAGTGCACTGTTCACTAACTATCGCTGTCAGCCATTCAGAAACCCTCTCATGCCATGAAAGATTACAGCCTTCTCTTTGTTCTACATTATGGCCATTCTGGGTGTTGATGTTTTCCTATGTTTTTTTTCACTACAGCCCTTTTTCTCTAGTAGGGTAGCACTGATTTAAAAACAAACAAACAAACACACATTTCTATACTGCATAGACAGCCAGCTTTTATTAAAACCTCATCTTGTTTGCAGTGAATTACCTCACTAACTTATGCAGTTACTTTAGCATTTATTTTTATTTATAAATATTTCAATACTTATTTATATTTTATAATTATTTATATATTGTATAATTATTTATGATCATTATAATTATAATAATTATTGATCGGTCTTTCTAGCTCTTTAGCATGTAATTATGCATATAATTGTGTTATGAGCACACTTCATTAATAAGTAAGGACAGATAGCTGCCGGTAGAAGAAGAGTCGATAAATACAAGTTAAAAACCTTGTGATTCTTGAAGGACTGTTTCTGCTCTAAACATTTTTTTCAGGATGTGGAAAATCTGGAGACTTTTGTGAAAGGTGGTTTTCATAGTGTCTTGATGAAGGAGTTACAGGGATAGTACATCCCAAAATTCAGTTTACTCCTATACTACCAGACAAAAGTTTGGAATAATTAATTGTGAATTGAATAATTAATTTTTAAAATATTTTTGAAAGAAGTCTTTTATGCTCACCAAGGCTGCATTTATTTGATAAAAAACTAAAATATTGTTACCATTTAAAATAGCTGTTTTCTATTTGAAGATATTTTAAAATGTAATTTATTCCTGTGATGCAAAGCTGAATTTTCAGCATCATTACTCCAGTCTTCAGTGTCACACGATTCTTCAGAAATCATTCTAATATGCTGATTTGCGGCTGTTATTATCATTATTATTGATGCTAAATGATTAATAATGTGTATTTTGTTTGCTATATTTAATTAGAAAACAGTTATTTTAAATTGTAATAATATTTAACAATATGACTGTTTTTACTGTATTTGTAATCAAATAAATGCAACCTTTATGAGCAGAAGAGACTTATTTCAAAAACATAAAAATGGTAATTATTCCAAACTTTTAACTAGTAGTACTAGTGTATATATTTATTTTTATGTAAATAATTTGCTTTTTTAAAATTTTGTCTGGTTATTCCAACACTGTATTACTTTCTCTTTCCATGAAACCTCTCTTCCAGACCTCTTAAATCACTTTTAGAAACATTGCGTCAGATGTTGCATAATTTATACCAAATGTCATGAGATATCAGCTGTCACATGACCAATTAAAAACTGAAAATTACGATTGAGATTTGAGGGCAACCGCGGAGGTGGCGGTTATCGGTGAATAACTCAAATAAATGGAAGTTTCAGTCATAAATGTATAATTAATTTTCTCACACGAAGCGAGAGGATTAGTTACTGATGACAGAACTTTCATTTTTGGTTGAGATGTTTCTTTAAATGTAGTGCACCAGAAACAGAACTGAATAAACCTGAGCAGAAGTCTGACACAGAGGGTTAAGACAAATTGTGGTTTTTGACATGTGTTTACTCCTCATTAAACCCCCCTGTTTTTTTCCATCATCTTTTATTCTCCCTTCTCTGCAACAGGCGACTACACAGACTTTTACTCATCGAGAGATCATGCCACCAACGTTGGAATAATGTTCCGTGGAAAAGAAAATGCCTTGATGCCCAACTGGTACGTGACAGCCTATTAATATTCCTCACCCTCTTAAATACTAACATCCGAAGCAAGCGTGCAGCCGAAACACACCATCACCGGCTCCTGTGCTGACTTCATATTTCACTCATCTTTTGAGTTACTAACCATATACGTACGAGTTTTAAAGACCCAGCAAAGTTCCTGTAAGTTATTCCCATAAACACTCGCTTTATTCTTTCCCATCATACGCCTGTCAGGCTAAATAATGCACCTGCGCATTTTCCAGCTCGCTGTGAAAAATGTCTTTTAGCAATAACTCTTCCCTCCGAAACAGAACTGTATTTCTTGTCACATTTTCACTTACAAGGCCCAGAGAGGGAGTCATTCGCCCGGAGACAGAGCTAAGGAAGAGGGAAGTTTTCTGAAATTTAATTTCGGCAGCTCGCCTACCTGAAGTTCCCCTCGGCTCAGTCAATCTGTCAGCGGGCCTTTCCAACCGCGTGACACTTCTTCAGGAAAGAATGAGAATTAGTCTGGAGGAAAATCTATAGTTGATTTACATTGGGCTTGAAGCCGCGGGCCTGAGCTGGGCTTTTGAAGTCAGGGTGATTTCTGGAGTAGGATTTGAAGTGTAGTTCACCCAGAAGTGTAAATTCTGTCAATATTTACTCTGTCGCTTCAAACCTGCATGCTGTTATTTTTTTTCTGTGAAACACATTTTTGAAGAGTCTTTTTACTTTTTGCTCTTTTCTCTACAAAGAATTTCAACTGAAGTGAAAGAGTTAAGTCGAGGAAGATATAGTGAAATTAACTTTCAATTACTACTAAAACCATATACACGTTAATTTGGAATGATCATGCATAAAAACGTCTTAAATTGAAGTACTATTCTAGCCAGAAGTACTTTAAAAAACAAGGACAACGATTTACATTTACCTCCATTAAAAGCGTATCTGAAATAATATTGTGTAAAGAAATGGCATCAGAGTGAATAGGTAGAGAACCAATGTTTTGTTTTGTTTTTTAATGTGATAAATGCTTAATATTTTTATTCCTCTGTTATAAATAGTTATAGAGTTTTATGTGGAAGCCTAAATGCATAATATTAAGGTAATCAATGTGCATTTACTCTAAACATTAAGTGGAATTCATTTATATATTCATTTGTTTTCTTTCATTGTTTGTTTCTTTATATATATATATATATATATATATATATATCCAAATTAAAAGTTTTTGTTTATATAATATATGTGTGTGTACTGTGTATATCTATTTTTAAAGACACACACATACAGTATATATTTAGAAAATGTTTATATGTATTTACATGTATTTATCATATAATTTATATTAAATATAAATATACTTAATATAGGAACATAACATATTTTTCTAAAATATATACATGCATGAGTGTGTATTTATATATACATAATAAATACACACAGCACACACACATATATTATGTACACAAAAACTTTTATTTTGGATGCAATTTATCTCGATTAATCGTTGCCCAGCATGTGTGTGTGTGTGTGTGAAGAATGAGATTTAAGAGTGAAGAGAGATTCACTTTTTTTTCACAGATTTCACAGATTTTTTTCTCTGATATATTTATTAAATCTGCTATATGTATTATGTATAACCATAAATGCAGCTAAATCTTACAACATTTCAATGCTTTTCCATTAAAGCCAATATTTGTTGTTTACTGTTTTTCTTAATATCTTCCTTTAAGTTGTGGAGAACAAAGAAAGTCATTCAGGTTTGGGTTGGGACAACATGAGGAGGAGTAAATGACGACAGAAATGCCATTTATGGATCTCTTAAAGGATGCAAAATTCACCCAGAAGATAAAAAGTCCCCCATATAAAGCACTGCTGGAAAGTTATGATGTGTTGTGGTAAAGGGAATGATATATTATCCTGTCCTGTAGGCTGCGACTGCCGGTGGGGTATCATGGGAGAGCTTCATCTGTGGTCGTCTCTGGAACACCAATCAGAAGACCTCGAGGACAGATGAGACCAGACGCAGGTAAACAAAACGTGGTGGATAAACCACAGACTCATCAACACAAGAAGCTCTTCTGCTGTAAATTTAGAATGTATAAAACTAGAAATAAACTGTATTGTTTCTGTTTGATTGTGCCTAAAGGAATAGTTTACCCAAAAATGAAAATTTGCTAAAAATGTACTCACCATCAAGCCATCCAAGATGTAGATGAGTTTGTTTCTTCATCAGATTTGGAGAAATGTTGCATTACATCACTTGCTCACCAATGGATGCTCTGCAGTGAATGGGTGCCGTCAGAATGAGAGTCCAAACAGCTGATAAAAATATCACAGTAACACACAAGTAATCCACACCACTCCAGTACATCAGTTAACATCTTGTCAAATGAAAAGCTGCATGTCTTTAACTTCAAATTGTTGTTTTCAGCTAAAATAGTCCCCTATCCAAAATCTTGCTTTCGCCAGTGAAAAAATCATCTTGTCTGAATCAGGAGAGAAATCTGCACAGATCAAGCACTGATTACAAGCAAAAACAGTCCAAAACAATTCTAAACAATTTTGAGTGGATATTGATGTGAGAAAAGAACAGGGAATTTTCACTGGGGGAAGCATTGTTATGGATTATGGACTCATATTTTGGCCAGAAGCAACGGTTTAACACAGTTTCACCCAATCTCATTACGATTTTCTCTGAAAACAGCCGAGATCCTGGAGGCGTGCCGTGGGCGGAGCTAAAGAGTGACGAGCACTTAAGCGCAGATTGCCAACAAAACGCAGAAAGATGCAGTTTCACTTACTGCCTCAGTTTGCGAATCATGACCGGGATCTTTTATAGCTGGGACTGCTCCATCTTTCAGTATCAAACGATGTGCAAATCCAGCGCCACACTGGGCCTTGTTTATAATATTTTCGTCAACAAGCACACTTGCAAAACTCTGTTGCTGCCCCGGAAAAACAAACTGCATCCACTGTTTACATAACACTGTTTACGTAACAAGGAGTTCCACCCTTCGTGACGTCATGCTCAAAAAAAAAACTTTCTAAAACTTATACAAAACCGTTGGCACAGAAAAACTCTGTTCTGCATCCAAATCGTTTTTTTTTTTTTCAACTTTGGCCATGTTTAGCATGAGAATCCAACTCTTTAAAGGTGGGGTAAGTGATTTCTGGTAGCCAATGTTGATATTTCAAATCACCAAAACAAACACGCCCCTACCCCAAAAGGGTCTCGGCCCTATTTTGATAGCTCTGCCCCACACATACGTACGCAACCCAGGCAACGATTAGTTCTACAAGCGAACATGACACACAAGCATATTCAAGCAAAAGCCAGCATATATTCTGTGAAACAAAGCAAAAACAATGTTACTCACCTATCGAGAAGAAACAAAGCAACCTCAGCGTCCGATCGCAGGCCTTCCCGCTCCTTGAGTTCTCTCCAGCACTGGAAAGCTGATCCGATATTTACACGGGTCCTACTTCTTGCCTTATCGTAAGCCTTCTTTTGTTCCGCAGACGTTTTCCTCTTTTGTTTTTTATCCGCCATCTCTATCTTTCTGTCGCTCGGCTCGATAATGTCCGACCTGTGCACTGAACGCTCTCTCCTCCACATCATGAGTAGACACGCCCCTTACTGCTGATTGGCTACAAGTTTGTTTTGGTACTCGGCCCGACTCGTTTTCTAAAGCGTTTTTGAAAAAATACATACCCCACCTTTAACAGTGTAAATAACTCAACATGCATGAAATAGCATTAGACTCCCCCTTTAAAGTTAAAATGTTTGTTTCTTACAAACAAGCAGCTTTTCACTTCACAAGATGTTAACTGATGGACTGGAGAGATGTGGATTATTGTGATGTTTTTATCAACCGTTTGGACTCTCATTCTGACGGCACCCATTCACTGCAGAGGATCCATTAGTGTAATGTACTAAATTTATTCAAATCCGGTGAAGAAACAAACTCATTTACATCTTGGATGAACTGAGGGTGAGTAAACTTTCAGCAATTGTTTTTATGTGAACTATTCCTTTAATTGACAACAAAATGTTCATAATTCAAAAAAATATATAATTTGAAGTATGCTAATACTTCAAATGAAGTATAAATATGTTTATATAGTGTATATATTTATAAATATTTATTTAAATGTATGTAGTTTGAAGTTTATTTTAGCAGTTAAGTGCACATTGCAGTGTTCTCTGTGTGAATAACGTGTTGTGCATTTGCATATGGCGCAGTCAGCACATTGACAAAAAAACCCCAATATGTGCATTTGCTTATTTTGCGTCATAGACATCATAGCAGTGGCAGGCTGATTAATGGCATCATGTTTCATGAAAAACCTCCATGTGGCTTGGAATGATGAGGCTGTTATGATATTTTCCCATACGTTAAATGATTGCTTTCACTGGTCAGCAAACCCACACCGTTCATTATTACAGCCTCACTTGAGAACTGATCTGACACATGTTTAAGTGGGGACTATAAATATTATGCAAATTCAGCCTGTAATGAACTCTGCTGCGAAATCCATCAAAACAGCTGTAAATCTGTGTTTGTTTCATAACTATATTTCTTTCAGCTCAACCGTCCATCTTTGGACCTAGCAAGCAGCTGGATATAGAGTTAGAGATGGTGAGTTAATGTGTTATGTGATGCAGTTCATTAGTTTATTAGTTGAGCATGTTATTGTGATTTGTTGCTGATTCACTCCTGTGCAGCAATGATGTAAGGAACTAAAGACTTATAGATCTCAGTCCTTCCCCGTTGTTCCCATAAACAAGGCACTCAGGAGAATGGCTTTACAAGAAATGTACTTTCAGTGGAAATGTTTCCAAAATTGCACTCAATTTGTCACTTTCTGCTTGCAGTAATGCAGCATTTTTCTGTTGCCATTTCTATGATCAAGGTTAGAGCTAAGCGCTAAATCTCAATATCTCATATATATATATATTGTACTCGTTAAAATGCCCCGATACCAAACTCCGATACCACACGGACACAGCATGTGCTAAGTGCCATATTCAGACAATGAAACACCGACAGCAGAATGGAGTTATTAGAGATTAAGGATGTCTAAGAAGTATATGTATGCAATGAATATAATGTTAAACATTCAGTATTGACTGTATAGCTGATGTGCGCGAGCTGATAAGCAAAGCACGCTGAGTGGATTGAGCGCGCGGCGGCGCAGATGCGCGAGCTTGTCGAGTGAATATACCTTTCTCACAGACATCACTGGAAAGTTTGAAGTTCGGTCGGATACGTCAAAAACAAGTAAGTAAAACAATGCATGCGGCGCGATGCAACGCAACGCGTAAAAAGACAGTATAAGTCATTAAAATCCACAATTATGTCCCCACTGGATGCAACGAATGCCTCGTTTATAATGGGTTTTAATGTTTTTGAATCATCGCTCCGGCCTGACAGGGCATCATCACAATATGGTAATATATATATTGTTTGTTTTTTCATTTTTTACTTCAAACAGATGAACAGATCATTTCAAGCCAAACAGCCTTTTTAGTGAATGCTGAAATTCAAAATGATTAATTAAACACTTAATCTAATTCAAACAATTTTGTAAAATCAGTAAAACTCCAGTTAAAATTTGTTCACTAAACATTTAACACTTATTTGATAAATATTTAATAATTTTAATTAATATGCAACCATAAAACAATAAAAAATATGCTTTTAGATGCATCAAGCCAGCTTTGTTGTTTTTCCCTATCACTTTTTCCTCCATGAATATAGTGTATAGTGGCTTTGAAATAACCAAAATGTATTAATGTAATTTATTTGTCACTTTCTCTCTGCAACTGTAAAAGCAATCAGAAAAACCATTTAGGCTTAATGTAATGAACTTATGAGTGGTGCGAGGCTCTCTGTTATTTACTCATGCATTTATGTGCTACTTGGATAACAATGTTGTTAGGCAAGGTGCCACAGAGATTAAATAATACTTGCACTAGCATTCTGTTTGCTTATACAGATGCTTGTCTCAAAATATGGTGCAATATTCTAAACATAGAAATTAGGATGATATACTGTTATTACATATTGAATATGATATTTGTCTTTCAGGCGTTCTTCGTGGGAAAAGGGAACAAACTTGGAGAGCCCATCCCAGTGGAGAAGGCTCACGAGCACATCTTTGGCATGGTGCTTATGAACGACTGGAGTGGTGAGAGCTAACTTTTGCAATGCATGTTCTTCAAAATCAACTTATAAGATGTTATATAAGCTTATATAAGCTATTTGCTGCAAAACAAGTGTGAAAAATGTGACCCTGGACCACAAAACCAGTCATAAGGGTAAATTTTTCGAAATAGAGATTTATACATCATCTGAAAGCTGAATAAATAAGCTTTCCATTGATGTATGGTTTGTTAGGATAGGACAATATTTGGGCGAGATACAACTATTGAAAAATCTGGAATCTGAGGGTGCAAAAAAATCTAAATAGTGAGAAAATCGCCTTTAAAGCTGTCCAAATGAAGTTCTTAGCAATGCATAATGCTAATCAAAAATTAAGTTTTAACATATTTACGGTATAGGAAATTTACAAAATATCTTCATGGAACATGATCTTTACTTAATATCCTAATGATTTTTGGCATAAAAGAAAAATCAATAATTTTGACCCATACAATGTATTTTTGACTATTGCTACAAATATACCCCAGCGACTTAAAGGGATAGTTCACCCAAAAATGAAAATTATGTCATCATTTACTCACCCTCATGTCGTTCCAAACCTGTATGAGTTGCTTTCTTATGTTGAACATAAAAGAAGATATTTTGAAGACTACTGGTAATTAAATTGGTGGTTGCCATTGACTTCCATAGTATTTCTTTTCCTACTATGGAAGTCAATGGCAACCACCAACTGTTTGATTACCAACAATCTTCAAAATATCTTCTTTTATGTTCAACATAAGAAAGCAACTCATACAGGTTTGGAACGACATGAGGGTGAGTAAATGATGACAGAATTTTCATTTTTGGGTGAACTATCCCTTTAAGACTGATTTTGTGCTCCAGGGTCACAACTAGCAAATGAGATTTGAGAGGGGAAGAAAAATGGGTTTGAGTTCCATACAATAGAATTATCATGTATCTATACTGGTATGAAGGACTTTTGTAAAGAAGTTCATATGTCATTAAACCATATTAAGTACTTTACATTTCAAATACACTGCATTTAACACCACCCATTTTTGCTTTAAAAAAAAAAAAAAATCTGCTTTTCATTTGTCTTGTCGTCTATGAACAAAAACAGTGAAACATTAATATACTGTAAGTCTCGGTTTACAAATCATGCCACAACTTGGCTTCACTTGAGAGAATTTGAATCATATCTTGCAAGGTTTTTTCAACTGTTCAGAGAAGCCTGGCGCTGTGAGTCTGACGTGGCGTGATTTAGCAGTGTTTCCCGGTCAGGCAAGTGTGCCATTTCTGAGCAACAACCGCTGTTAATTCTTTTATTATTCATCTGTCTCTTTTTAAACCTACAATGTCTCCTTCTTGAGCACACTAAACACATTGCATTTTTATGAGCCGTTGAGCGGACTCTGGAAATGACAAACACTTTTAGGGCGAGGAGGCAGAGGGTGACGCTTGGTGAAGTGTGCATGCCAAGCTACATCAGTTTACACAGCATCTGCTTAGCTGTTCAGTTGCCTTTGACAGAATGCTGTGTTTTTGTAGCAGAGTGAGTAAAACACAAGTATTTTGACTTGTAATGGTTTGTGCCAATCGAAAAATGTAGTCTGTGCAGTGAAATATTGGCTGACATCAGTAAGAAACATAAAAATTCAAGAGATGTTTGGAAACCAATATTGTTTCATCAGAATTGTTGCAAATGAGTTCATTTACTTGTGTACTTTTGTATGTTGTTTTTTTTTTTTTTACATAAATGCATGGGCATTATTTTTAACATGCATTACTGTATTGCTCTGCTTTGCTGCATAATTTTGAAAATGCAAAGAAAATGTACATAATATATGTGACCCTGGAGTAGGGCTGTGCGATTTGGGGGAAAATATCAAATTGCGATTGCGATTTGATTTGCGATTTTAAATTTGCAAAGTCAAGCTTCAGCTCAATATTGTCAATAATGTGCAGCACAGTATGGGTATCATTACCCTGCTGAAAAAAACAATAGAAACCATCACAGAAATTCTTATAGTTTCCATTAAACCATCCTGGAGCACAAAACTAGTCTTAAGTCGCTGGGGTATATTCGTAGCAATAGCCAAAAATACATTGTATGGGTCAAAATTATCGATTTTTCTTTTATGCCAAAAATCATTAGGATATTAAGATCATGTTCCATGAAGATATTTTGTAAATTTCCTACTGTAAATATATTAAAATGTAATTTTTGATTAGTAATATGCATTGCTAACAACTTCATTTGGGCAGATTTAAAGGTGATTTTCTCAATATTTTGATTTTTTTGCACCCTCAGATTCCAGATGTTCAAATAGTTGTATCTCGGCCAAATATTGTCCTATCATAACAAACCATACATCAATGGAAAGCTTATTTATTCAGCTTTCAGATGATGTATAAATCTCAATTTCGAAAAATTGACCCTTATGACTGGTTTTGTGGTCCAGGGTCACATATTAAAAACTTAATTCAATGCCAAAATGCATTAATGAGTTCTAAATAAAATTTGTATTTGTCATTTAAAATCACTATTTGAAATGTAAAAATGCCCAATATATTTTTATTTACTTTTGTAGTTTTATGTGTTTTATATTTGCCATTATTTTGCATTTGCATTACTGTCTTGCTTTGCTGCAAAACTTAGTGAACTACATTGCATTGTATGTGTGACAGAAAAAAATGATAGAAATATTATATAATATATTAAACATTTTTCATCACTTGTTCAAATACTAAAATGCATCACTAAGTATTACAAAATGCATCACTAAGCAATTTAAATATGTACTATTTTTCCCAATATTTTTGTGTATTTATTTGCTTTTGTATTTCTATGCATTTTATATTTGCCATTATTTTGGACTTGCATTTGTGTGTTTATTTCAATGACAGACTGTCTCATGAATGCTTATGGCTTTTGTTAATGCCACTTCCTTCCAGATTTTACTTTAAATCCAGATTTTACAATTTAAATTGTTTTCTTCCTTGCTTTTCTTTAGAAGACCTCTCTTTCTCCTCCAAAGTTCCTTCCTCACCAGAAGCGAGTCCCAGTTCTCATTTGAAACACATTCCTCAGAAATGCTGCATGTCTTCTAGCGAGAGTCTGTCAGAATTATGCAGAGGGTAGATATCTGTATGTTATACGAGTACAGCTCCAGAATATCTTGTGCTGTTTGGAGCAGATACTAGAAACTGTCTGCGTTCATGCAGAGAGATGACGACTTGAGGATGTGTATTGGCGTCTCTTTGGCATCTGTTCTGCGTAATGCTGCGAGAAATACTCATATGCATCAGTCTGGATGGGATTTCTAGATATATGAATGGATTTAAAACACAATGAATAAATAAAGACATGAGACGGCTAAAGAATATCAATGCTGTGAGGGTGCAGACTTTATGAAAGCTTGCGGTTTCAAATTCAATAATCTCGCCTTAATGTGACCGGATTTATTTGTCTGGACAAAAGCTTTATAGGTCTTATTTTGCCAGCGCATTTTGGTTTGGAAAATTGAATTATATTGCACTGTAACGTTTTATGGTGAAGTGTGGGAATTTACACTGCAGCAAATTATTCCTTAAATGAATCAAATCTTGCACTGTTTCAAAACCAAGTGAACACATAGTCAGCATTGTAAGGGGTCATATGCACATTTCCACTGCACAGGCTGATCCTAGATGTTCAAAGATACCTTCTTTGGTCAAAATCTAAGGTAGCAGTGCATGTGTGACATAACAAAGTGAGAGAACTGTTATATAATATAGTAAAAATACAATGAATTTATTACCAAAATGCATTGGTAAAATGCATTGTTTTTTTTAAATGTATTATTTGGCCAATATCTGTGTGTGTTTGTTAATGCTTTTTGAAGTATTCAAATATTGTGTTGTTAAAATTAAGTTCTATCTATGTAGACATCTAGGCCGCTCACTAGAATTTGGAACACAGCCTGTTTGTGCCTGAGTAGTGATGTATGCAATGAATAACTGCACGTTTAATTTGAAGAAACTAATTGATTTTAGTTAAAGAAGATGAAATAGCACAGGTAGTGATCCATCCTGTCCCAGATTCAGGCAAGCAGCAGAAGAGATAAAGTTTAAAGAGAGTTTAAATGCATCTAGTTGTTTAGGACTCATGCATTTAAGCTGTTTTCAGCAGGGCAAATGTTTTAAAGAAAAAAGCCCCTGCAAAACGCACTGCCACAATGCAAATGCATGACTTATACATTGTCTTTCTTTTTCTCTTTTATGTTGCAGCTCGGGATATCCAGGCTTGGGAGTATGTTCCATTAGGTCCATTCCTGGGCAAGAATTTTGGGACCACTATCTCGCCCTGGGTCGTTCCAATGGAAGCACTGATGCCCTTTGTTGAGCCCAACCCGCTCCAGGTAAATTGGGTCGATTGTAAGTGGAAGAGTGTGAATATTTTGGGAATGGGATGACACTATAAATTCACACAGTCGTTTGTTACTGCATTCCTAAAAATGTGTTAAAAATAACTGCATGAACAGTACATTTCCATTTGCTTTTTTTCTGTGTATCAGTATCAGCTTATATTGGATGTTTTCGAGTTTCCTGTTTATTTTAAGATCATACTCTAGCACTACATTACTGTATGTGATGCCTTTCAACCTCTATATGCTGTTTGAGAAGACTTCATTTCTCAGGTTTTGGCCTTTTGAACTTTATATATTTGGTGGGACTTTCACTTATTTTAGGATCATACTCTAGCATTTCACAGGGACAGATTATGGTAGATTATTGAATGCTTTGAGAGCGCCTTCTCTTTAAATGCACAAGACAAATATTTTTTCCATATATAATTTTATTGGCCATAACATGAATATTAATATTAATATTATAATTAATGAAGAATATTAATTCTCAGCTCATTGGGACTCTGCAATATTAGTGCATCTCTAATTTGACATACACTACAGTTTGGGGTTAGTGTTTTTTTTTTTTTTTAAATAATACTTTTATTTTCTAAAGATGCATTAAATTGATCAAAAATTAGAATAAAGACTTTTGTTACAAAAAAAATATATTTCATATAAATGCTGTTCTTTTGAACATTCTATTGAGAGAATCCTGAAAAAAAAAATATATGAAGCAGCACAACTGCTTTCAATATTGATGATAATAATAATAAATGTTTCTTAAGCAGCAAATCGGCATATTAGAATGGGTTCTGAAGGATCATGTGACACTGAAGACTGGCTGTTATTACTGAAAACAGTTATTTGAAATTTTAATAATATTTAACAATTTTCCAGTTTTACTGTGGTGTTGATCAAATAAATGCAGCCTAAACATTTCATAAACATTAGAAAAAAATCTTACCAACCCCAAACCTTTGAATGGAAGTATATAGTATCAGTATAGTATCTCCTATATACTAGTATCTCCTATGTATCAGTATAGTATCCCCCCCCCCCAAAAAAAAACATGCTGTCTACTACATATATAGGCAGCATCCGTACTGAAATGAAACCTTGTAAGTGAATGATTTGGATCTCTACACAGGCAGCAGCTCCATGTATCACACAAATAGCCTTTCTTCATGCTAAATGGATGGGTGCCTTTAGAAGGCAACATAATCATGCCTACCTTTGGTAGAAGCTCTTTGGTGCCTTTAAAACGCTGCCTCCATAGGCTTTGGACAAAGTATCCGATTAGCACCTCAGGAGCGGCCATTGCAGACTCATTATCTTTAAAAATGATGGTCAGAGTGTGAATTTATTCAACTTCACAGTCCCGTTACAGCTCTGTGGAACGGACTCTTCATCATCACAGACGGCAGAGTGCAGACTTTGCATATAAGCGGGAAATGAGACGTGCTAAAGGCTGTTCTTTGAGTTAATGCTTTCCTCTTTCTCTACAGCAGTCAGCCACTGTGAGCGAATGAGGCAAAAACACATCTTTATTCTCTTTTACGCATTCATTTGTTGGATCAGTGATTCTCAATTGGTGGTTTGTTGCCCAAAAATGGGCCGCAGGACTGTTCTGATGCTTCAATGCTAATGTAGTTTTCTTTTATTATTTTCAGGAGTTCTTGGATTTTTTTTTAAAAGCAAATATATATTGATTGTAATACATATTGTGCATTTGACAAAAAAAATGGAATCTGACGTTTTAAAAATATTTGAAAATGTTTAAATCAGTGTTATTTTAAAGTAATTGAGATAGTATTATAGTTTTTATTAATCATTTTTGAATCAGTTTTTGTATTTTCCATTGTTGTATTAATTTTAGTCAAAGTTTTAGTAATTTTGTTTTGTGTTTTTGTTTAGTATTTTTGTTTTTGTAGTTTTCAATTTTTTTAATTTCAGTTTTAATTATTTTAGTACATTAATTTAAACTAAACTAAACTAAAAATGAGAAATATTGCCTTGGCAGCAAGCTAAAATAAATATTTCTTTTTAATATTTAATATA